GCTTCAGAATAAGAGCCTCCAAGACTACTTTTGTATATGATGCTAATGACTAAGTTAACTATGCTATTGATTTTTGTCCTAGATGTAGCTTTAACATGCATTATGGAAAGAACGTTTTGGCTGTTTAATGTATAATATCCACCTTGTTTTACATTTCATAACATCGATGTTTTACAAGCTTACTGTAAAGAGTTGGGCATGTCCAATTCTTATCCATATTCTGAGGAGGTTAGGTTTTATGCCCCCTCCTTCATGTCTTCAGCTTTTGGTTATTAATCTACATAGTAGGGGTCGATGCCAAACCTCCCATCATTCCAAGACGGCTTATATAAAATTAAAAAAAACAAAAAAAAAATTGGCAATTGGAGTTTGAGTAATAATTGCAATCCTTGTCATTTTCAATGAGAAACTATCCATATCTGAAGGTATATGGACCGAATGAATTTATAAAGGATAACGTGGATATAACATCACCGAATGCTTCCTAACTACCAACAAATGAAATCAAATAGAAAAACGACAAAGACTTGATGTTGTTATATTCATACATGGTTCTACAAACCTTATTTGCCACAATATCTATCATCTTCAGAATTACTCCAGCACACCCCTTTTATTGGGGCTCAACTATTTAGTCTAAAGTCTAAAATGCAACAAAGCAGAAGTGTCATCCAGCCCTTTGTTAGTGTAATAAGTAGTGTACTCCTTAATTGTGGTTTCCTTGTACTTTAGAGGATTATGTTCTGATATCAACTCCTGGATAGGTCCATATAACCTTTCTGTTGGAAGAAAACTTGTCGTGAAAAAGCAAGCCACTGATATCCTTGAACTAACCTTATTTGCCAGTACTCTATGTTCAACACTTTTGAACTTGTCATTTGATATAAGCTGAAAATGACACAGCCAAAAATCAAGGATCAACTTTCTGTTTTTGTTTATAATCATCTAAAACTTATGTTACATGCTGATAAGACAAGTATGTATTTCTAACAGCTACGCTAAAATTGTAGCAAACTCTTAGTGTATTCTGATGCTTCAAGTGCTCGTATGGTGTTATATCCATTCAACAAGTACGTCAAGGCCAGAGGCAGACCTATGCTATACAGAGAGGGAGCGGATTTTGGTTTAATCCAAAAGTGCACCTGCGACCTTCAAATCCTGAGTCTGCCTCTGGTCGAGGCAAATGAATTATTAGAAGAAATGTAACACTTGCCTGAAGAAGATCTCCAATATTGACCACGAGAGCTCCGGGAGTAGGGGGAACATCTACCCAATGGTTTTGATGTAGAACTTGGAGGCCGCCTATATTGTCTTGGAGAAGCAAGGTGAGGAAGTTACTGTTAGCAAATAGTAATGACTTTTAACACATTTAAAATTTGAGAAAAATCTTGTCTATATTGATCAAATAATACCTGCAGATAGAGGAAAATTCTTCAGGATTGGGAGGTATAGGAGCTACTGTGGCATAAAAAGTGTCCCTCCAGTTGGTTACTGGTGATCTAAACAGATCAAAATTACTATGAAATATAAACCGTTTTGTGAAGTCTCGCGAATACCATTTCTTCTTCACCTCAGTATCTTGTTCAAAGAACCTGATAACCCCATCTTTCATTTCCTCCATAACATGACTAAGAATCCTGTAATATGGCCAAATTTTCATGACATTTGTCATGACATAATATTCATTATAATAAATCTGTGAATCATGACATTTGCCATGACATAATATCCATTATTAGGCCAAAGATTTCTTGCTATAAATAAAGTAGTTTCTCCTCATTTGAAAACACATCAATTCAAGAGCTTTTCACTCTTGTCTTTCTTTCTCCT